ATGCATCAAAAAGTAATATTAAATAATTCTAACAACAGCTTATAAGCTCAAACGTGTTGCTGTTGTTTAGCCGCTGGTTTCCAGTTTCTGGTGCAAAGTGGGCCAAAAACAAACAAGGGAGACGGGACTTGCGACAGAAAAGCCGATCAGCTGATCATTAATCAGTTTGATGATTGAAGTAGCAGCAAGAGAGAGAGAGAGAGAGAGGCAGTCACTCCATATATCGGTTGTTATGCTTAACGTGGGAATGCTTTACAAACATTCAGAGATTAACTTACACACTTGCATTACTTCTCTCTGGGATAACTTTCTTGGAGATGAAATGCCGGTTTGGTAGCGAGACGCCAAGTGCTCAACTAGACTGCCGAGAGGTCTCGCACGCCACAGCCGCTCTATCACGTGACGCATACTGCTCTGACGTGCTACGGTTATGAGTTGAGTTACGCCATGGCGCAAGTTTTTCTTTGAGGCGCTTTCGTGATATTTAATGGATTGATTACATTTTTTTATTACCGATATGTAATATCGGATCGGTCCATCCCCAGTAGATAGTCTAGCTTAAATAGAACAAAATCCTTGAATTTATGTTCTTTGTGAATTTTACTCCTTATTTGTTTTGTTTTTTTGTTGTTTCCATCCCCTGATGTATTACTTGATATGGTTTTTTTGAAATCGTTTTTCAAGATCAACTTTGACATTGGGTGCTAACAATAAAGGTCAAGGCCAAATGTTTAGTCAACCAAGATACTCGTGTCCCCCCCAAAGCCTTTTATATTATTGTGAAGTTTGAAGATGATCCATAAAAACTTGGGTGGGTTATATATGTTTTTGCTGATTTACATATTTTATGTGACCCTCGACCTGATTTTCACCAAAATTAAATCAGCTCGAGCTGTCCTTGGCATCTACCATCACAACATCATCACCATCAATTTGAAAATGATATCTTGAAAATTGTTAACACTACACTGCTGACAGACAAACAATTCCTTTGGGTAGGTGGATAACTATATACTGTTCAGAAATAGTGACTAGTTGTCTTTTGCAAGGTCGAGGTTTTTTTTTTTTTGTGAGTGTGTTCTCAAAAATGTATTCATTCATTTCAAGACACCTTCAGTCACGACGCACCACAGAACACTACATGTGGCCATCAAACTGTATATCTCCTTATGACATGTGGACTAATTTCACAAAATCTCGCTGATACTTTACATAGTATTGTTTTAACTTTGGAATATTTCATTTTAATTAA